TCCTTTATCCTTGGTCCTTTGTAATGTTTTTAAGCTGATACGTGGGGGTTTATGTTTCCAAAGGAATTTAGAAATGTACGAGTCTAGAGATCTGAACCAATCTTGTGATGGCTTACTTGGGATCATTGAAACTAAATAGTTTATTTTTGGCAAGACCATCATTTTTATAGCGGCGACCCTTCCCATGAGAGATATGGGTAAAGATTTCCATCTAGCCAGATCGCCTTCTACTGTCTTTAAAAGTGGGATGTGGTTTAATTTAGTTAATTCTCAATCTTAGGAGAGACACTGATACCTCCAGATATTTCCAGATTGCAGTCGGGTAGATGAAGAATTATGGAAGGAACAATTAATTGGAAGAACTGTAGATTTTGACCAGTTAATTGAATAATCTGAGACTCTTGAGAAAGAGTTTATCAATGCAATTACCCCAGAGAGATTGGTTTGTGAGTTTTGGAGAAAAATTAACACAGCACCCGCATAAAGGCTGATTTTATGTTCTACATTCTTACATTTTATTCCCTTAATTGTTGTAGCCTGTCTAATTGCTGCTGCTAGTGGCTCAATAAAAATTGCAAACAGTGAAGGGGAGAGTGGGCATCCCTGCCTGGTGCCCCTCAAGAGACAGAAGCTGGAGGATGTTTGGTCATTTGTTTTGACACAAGCTGTTGGGGAGTTATATAATATTTTTAACCAGCTTACGAAAGAGTTTCCAAAACCAAATTTGTGTAAAGTTGCAAATAGAAATTTCCAGTTAACTCTGTCAAACACCTTTTCTGCATCAATAGACAATATTATGGTTTCAATATTTTTACTGCATGAGTAGTCCTATTAAATTAAGGAATCTACGTGTATTTGTTGATGAGTGCCGACCTTTTATGAAACCAGTTTGGTCAGGATGAATTAAAAAGGGGGCTATTTTCTCTAATCTCTTTGAGAGAGCTTTGCAGATTATTTTAAGGTCTACATTAATAAGGGATATTAGACGATAGCTTGCAGGAAATACAGGGTCTTTGCATGATTTTAGTAAGAGACTAATATTTGCAGAATTTATATTTGGTGGTAGTCTGCCATTTTCTTTGATTTCCTGCAACATTCTGTGAAAATTGGTGACAGAATCGTCCAGAATTCTTTGTAAAATTCTGCTGGAAAGCCATCTGGACCTAGAGCCTTATTATTGGGCATACTTATCAGGGCTTCCTGGAGTTCACCTGGCATCAGTGGTGAATCCAGTGCCATTGCTTGGGTGTCTAATAATTTTGGAAGAGTTACATTGTCGAGAATTTGATCAATTTCGTTTTTAGATGAGTTTATTTGTTGGTGTATATAAAATTTCATAGAAATCCCTAAAAATTGTGTTTATTTTTATAAGGCCATATATTGTATTCCCAGATAAACCTTTAACAGCACATATGGTTGTTTTTTCTTTAGTGATTTTTAACTGGTTAGCTAGAAATTGTCCGGATTTGTTACAGTGTTCAGAATTTTGCAGGAAGTCTTTGTACTAAGAATTGTCTTTTTTATTAATAATTTCATTTAATTCTAGTTTTGTGTATTTTGTTCAATATTTCTTGATCTTGGTGTGATACATAGGCTTTTTCTAAGGATTTGATGTTTTTTTCTAGTTCCTGAACATTTTTGTTTTCTTCTTTCTCCTTATGTGATGAGAAAGAAATTATTTTTCTTCTCATCACAGCTTTCCCTGCTTCCCAGAGGACAGATGCTGATATTCCAGGAATGTCATTATAGCCTAAATATAGAGTCCATTCTTTTTTAAAGTATATGATAAACTCTTCATCTTTGAGTAGTGATGTATTAAATCTCCAGTTTTTACTTGACGTAGTATTCTTCTTGTGTATTAGTGTTAAAGATACAGGAGCATGATCGCTGAGAGCTATAGGGTGAATCTCAGTGTCTGAGATGTTACTCAGCAGTGAGCTGCTGACTAGGAGATAATCCAGACGGGAGTAGGAGTGATCAACATGCGAGAAAAAAAAGTATATTCCTTACTGTTGGGGTGAAGGGAGCGTCAAGCATCGCAAAGACCAAAGTCGCTCATATACTGTTTGATTATATTTGTGGACTGCCAATTGTGCTGAGTTCCTGCTGTGTTGAGCCTATCCATTTCTTCATTTAGCCCCAGGTTGAGGTCGCCCTCAAGAACAATTGTGCATTCTAGGTGTTCGGAGAGTGTACTAAAAAAATTCGTGGAAGAATGAGGGGTCATCAACATTTGGACCATATATACTTGCAATACATAGCTTTTGGTTAAGTATAGATAGTTTAACGATTATGAATCTGCCCTCTGGATCTATAACTATGTCGAATATTGTGAAATTAATATTTTTATGTATTAAAATTGCTACTCCTCTTTGTCTAGAATTATAACAGGCTGAAAACAGATTAGGAAACTCAGGTGTTTTAAGTTCATTCAAACCTATGAGTCTCTTGTAATAACAGATTTGTGACAGATTTGTATTTAATGCAATGGAAACTCTAGGCTCCTCACCACATGTGCTAAATAAAGAGGCAATTTTAAAGCAAGGCTTTGAATGGCTACTTGCAGCAAATAAAAGGAGACTTCAATTAAATAATAATAATTTTAAAAAAAGCTTTTAACATAAGGTTGGTCATCTGTGCATTTACATTAAACATCGATGAGATGATACAGACAGAATGCTGAGTTGTCGTCTCAGAAATCAGAAATAGTGGCTATGACACTCACTGGTCCTTGGCCTCCTTCCTTCCGCTTAGCCTAGTCTCAGGGTGCTGGATTTGGGGTGAAGCCCTCCATGCACGAATTACACGAATCACTAGTGACTACTAGTAAATGGTAGTTATGTCAGGAACTCCGATTTACTATCCATTATCTATATTTACAATCTACATTTTGTGTTATAACTCTGCCAAACGATACATGCATGAAGCATATATATATTAACGTCAAAGTTTATGTTGGCTTTTGGCCCACAGCAGCAAACACTAACTATTATTTAAGACTATGATCATGTTTAATATAAGCATTCATCATTGAATGGAGAAAGGTTTCAGACGCCTTTTTCATTTTGTACAATTCTAAATTGGTGAACTTGCCAGTTTAGTCTAACAAAATGAAAAAAACAACCCTGAATTCTTTGCAATACATCTTATTTAACCATTTATAAGATGTCTTGATCATACACCATAGCAACTGTGACATCACCTTATTGTTAATGCCTGTTTTCCAAACTTCAATGCTAATCATCTTTTTTTAACCTGACTTGATGAGAGAGGTGGATTCCATATGGTAGAAACTTGTAAATGACAAGTTAGCCCTGCCCTAAACCTTGCTTTATCATCCTTTTTGACTCTAATGGGAACCAGAATTTACAAAATAAACAGTAAAACTTTAAACCAGCAACTGAGATCATAAATTGATCAAAAACGTTTGGTGATACAATCCAACACCAGAAAGGCTGTTTTCTGATAGACTTTATTCTACTGGACAGTTTTTTAATCAGTTACTCCCTGTAGGCCATTTCAGGTGTTTATGTTCTGGACTGGCTTACCCTTTTCAGGTCAACAATTTCCATCTTATCTTAAAGTCTATGTTCTTGATTGGCCAACTGAATTGATTAGATATGCAAAATCTATTGTATGGCAAGCTTAAAAAAGCAAAATAAAAGGGAATATCATCCCCACAAATAAACACACAAATGATTCATAAACAGAACTGATTTGCTTATTTTTTTAAATTTATTAGATATTTTGTTATGTTCCATTGTCTAGACCTTCTGTCACAGCTTGGACGCTGCAGGAAAAAAGAACTAATTTTTATTACATTCACTACTAATTCCCCTGAATTTTGCCTTATCAGAAAAGAAAAGACTGAATACACTGTGAATCTTTGTCTTTCAAAACAAACAAAAAGAAAACAGAGGGAAAAAAAACAACAGTAGATTTTGCAGATGCTTTTTCATGATTACAATAAAGAAAACAGTATTTTTGACTCCGTCTGTTCCCTAAGCTTCTATCCCTCCCCTCACAGTCATACCTGGCATCACTGGTAATGCTACAAAAGGCGACTCCCGTCATCAAACTCAGGCTTTTCACTCCTCGTCATATAATTCAGAGGTCAAGCTGAATGGAGCTGGATTTTGGGAGAGGCCACTTCCTTCTTGTGTGATGCAATTCAAGAGTTTCTTAAAAGCATCAAGAGATCAAACCGAGAGAAAAAAAACCTAAAGAAAAAAAAAGAGCATGCAAATTAGCTGTTTTGTTAAACCTATTTGTCCTCGTACTGGTGATATAACAGGTCCATGTCATGTTTGTACAGGTGTGAAACATGTCAGTGCTCCCGGAGTTATTAACATCCTGTAAAATCTATCCCTTTATCTGTGTAGCTGTACATTCATAAGCATGGATGAGGTACAGTTCAACACGTGAACAGTTTGCTCTGCTTTAGCAGCATGCTATCCACAAAGCTGTTATGTGCTCCACTGACATTCCAACTTCCTTAGAGTTACTTGTAGCAATACAGTATTAAATGATAAACCTGACAATGCTGATGAGCGCTTTATCTGTAAAATCGGGCCTTTTATAAAGTACACTTAAAGGCTCTCTTTTACCTGTTAAACAGAAACACACAGAGATAGGTTCTATCAAAACCTACAAATTCTGAGACACACACACACACACACACACACACACCTGATCAAAAGCCTTAACCAAACTACGTCATCATAAAAAACATCCTAAATATTTTACATTGAGCCTGACCTGATCTGTGTTAACTTCAATATATATATAAAAAAACTCAGCCCGTGCTGTGATACACTGCTCTAACCTCAAGTCCATGCAACCAGAAAAGAAAGTTTGTGACAGAGGGAAGTGATCAACACATTTTCTAGATGAGGCTCTGACTAGCTCACTGCAAGAGTCAAATTTGCAGTGCGACCTCATACTATACTACCTTCTTGTAGTTAGTTAACTTAGGTGAAAAGCTTTAAAAAAAAAAAAAAAAAAAAAAAAAGTAATTGTGTGTGTGGGTGGACAAACAAAAAAACTAAGCTAATCCACATCTGTAACAAACATGGCAGATCTGCCTGGACCCATTTGTTCTGTCAGTAGAGCGGAAACAGTAGTTTGAGAAAGATATAAAAAAAAACTTAAAAAAAAACTACCTTGATTCATGCACGCAGCAGTGCACAGACTCTCATCCTCATTTAAATCTAAACCAGAAAATTAAAAAAAAAAAAAGAAGCAGCTTTTGGGGAGGTTTGACAGTCCTCCAGTTAAAGCCCTAGCCAAGGAGAAAGGCCATGCAGCGACAGCATGAGGCAAAGTTCAAGAGGCTGCTGGTGGTGTGAGAGCACTCAGAAGCTTTGATCTTATGCTGAATGTTAACCATCTCAGTCCCCAGACTGACAGTTTTAAGAGTGAAGGCAGTTAAAAACACAAACAAGCACACAGATGCGTACGCCAACACAGAGGTGTAAAGTACATACTCTCGTGGAGGGTACTGACTTGCCCTCTAAACAACACACACAACACGCACTGCAGTGGCTGTAGACATGCAGCGACAGTTTAAAAGTGAGGAGTTGCTGTTGTCCACATGCACTTGTGTCGAAGAAAGGGGTGGGCAAAAATAAATTACCCATCATGCATGAGCATCATCTTTGCTTTTAAACCATAAAAAAATAGGCATGGATCTGCCTGAGAATTCAAAATAAAGAAAAAAACAACAAAAAAACCCCAGACATAGTGGGCCAGTGGAACAACGGCAGAGAACCGAGAAAAACCTTTTACCAGGACAAGTATATCGACAATACTGAGGGGAGAGACGAGGTTTAAAGTAGAGACAGACAGTTATAATACAAGGAGAACGTGGGGAATTCAATTGTCTGATACCTGCTTCAATCATCTCATAGAAATTTGTGTGGGAACGTGTAGCTAAAAACATTCTAATGAATTTAAAAGGCTTGACTTTGTGAGTCACCATTTACACACCTGGATAAAAACAAAGCCCATTGGAATAATCAACTAACAATTACATATCAGGCAATTTACGATCTGTGCAAAGTTTTTTTTTTCTTTTTATATGAATGCAAAACCTTTTTTTTTGTTTTGTTCTTTTTTTGATTTTTTTGTTTTGTTTTTTTTTCTTCTCTGAGTGAACAGGAGGCTTGTGACTGGGGGTAGGATCTGTACAGTACTGTTAACCAATCATTTCAAACCCCCCAATGAATCATGTGAGACAGGAAGCGAAGAGGCGACAATCAGGGCCATTTCCTCAGCGTGGTGGACATGTCTCTGATGACATCATCGTGACAGGGTTTGGTTGATTTGCCTCACTGCTCATGAGCAGCACTGGTGCCTCGAATCTGACCTGTTTTACGCAGCTGAATGAAAAAGAAAAGGCAGTAGTCAGCTTGTGTGTTGAATGTGTGGAAAAAGTCAAGTGATGCTTAAACTTTTTTTAAACAACTTTTTTTTAAACACAGATAACATTAAAAATAAACATTTTGCCCCACTTTAGTTCACATATTTTAGTTCAATGTACACAAACTAGACCTAAATGAGAGGCAGAAAACTGACATATGGCTAAGCCAAACACAAAAGAATTCTCTTTGCCAAACTGTTGATGTTTTAAGTCTGTTAGTAGAGAGCAATGTGCATGCAGCCGACTTCCAAAAATCAAAGAAAAAAAAACAAGAATAAGCATCACAAACACAAAACATGAGGAGGAAAAATGAAAGTGCCTGACGTGAAGGTGTGGGAGCTGAAAGAAAATCTTAAAATGTGAGCGAAAATGACAAACAGTAGCAGGCAGGAGGGGGAAAATGAAAATGATCACAATCCTATTCCTTATCTTATCATTGAAGGTTTTTACATACAATGTTTAAAATGTATTGGTCATAGATATTGAGAAGAATCTCTGTCTTACATGAATTTGTTGCAAACCCTCTTTTACTTATAACTTTCACTTATTACCTTTTGTTACCCCCATTCACAGAGGTTCAAATTATATTGCATTACATTCAGAGACATAACTACTTGTATAGTAGGTGTGTCAATTTCAACAGAAATATGTGTTAAAAATATATCCCACCCACTAACACATTACAAAATATGCCAAATAATTAGATTAAAGTGTTTAAAATATGAATATTTGATTAAAAAAGATTAAATTCAATTCAATCTGAAAAACTGCCTAAGAGAGGACTGTAAATCTGTCTTTGTGGAGTTGGCTTGTGAACACTCTGCCATCATTACCACGCGGTTGCTGTTAAATTATTTCAGACCTAATTACACTCCCATTGGGTCTAAGTATTTGAGAGTTTTATTTTGAAGAAAAACTACAACCATTAAGCTAGCTAATATATGTAATTAGGCTGCTGTTATTAAGTGTCATAAAACATAAAATTACTGAATAGAAGAAAAACCCTCAAACATTATTAATATGTTTTGCCTTTTTTCAGCTGACAGCAGCCTACTTATATTCCATAATTACAACATGCTCTTTCTCTGCGAGGGACATATCCATCTACCTGGTATAGCTGGCTTTACCAGGTAGGTGGATATGTCCCTCAGAGGTACCTACTGCCCCTGGTAGTGCTGCTGAATATAATTAAGAATCCTCATCGACAGCCTTAACGCTCATTCTAGTTTTGATTGTCATGAATACAAAAAAATAATTAAGAACTGAAATCCACAGTTCTTAATTAAAGAAATAAAAATAAAAACAGGAAATAAAGGAGATAAAGGGATAAAAGGAGAGGAAGGTCAGAATGAAAAAAATGACACTGGGATATAAAGTGTAAGAGACAAGAGAACACTGGTTGGTTCCAGATATAGGTTAAAAACAGCAGGACGACAACAGCCTGAAGCCATGGAGTGGAGACTGATCCATGCAGTGTAACCATCACTCATGATGAAACTTACTCAGCCTGCCTCTAGTGTCAGACCTACAGCAACGGGGTTCTACTCATCTGTGGCACAGGTGCCTCGAACATCTCCTTTCTGACGCATCTAATGTGAAATTCAGGAGCAAAAGGGTTAAATCGCGAACACGAATCATGTTGTGTCTTCTCCAACAGCCCGGTCAAATATTTCAAACCATTACCACAGATTTCCAAACATTTCTAAATATGGAGACAACTGTATGTAATTTCAACTTTAAACTACCCCGAGACAAGGACAGTTATTTCAGATTGGATTCTGTTTGAGTTAATTACCTCCTCAAGCTCTTTTTGAGTCTCCTCTTCCATCCGCCTGATGTCCTCCATGGTCAAACCCACCCATTTGTCAATCCAACAGAACAACTGGCGGTGGAAGTTGGTGAAAATACGCTTTTCTTGCTGTGGAAAACAGACAGACATTTAAATGGAAAAAAAAAAAAAGAATACCATAAAGGTTGTACAGCAGCTGAAATAAAGACAGATTTTCCAAAATACAGAAGTGCTTTAGTGACCAACAGCAAGAAAGATTTGTTTCCTTCATGTCTTTATGTCACATTCATCACACTTGTGTAAAACACAAGCCACACTCAACTCTAGCATGCAAAGACAGGACATAAATTGAAAAGCTTATCATGATAATAAAAACACTAAAAAAGTTAAATGTTTTTAAAAAAAAAAAGAAAGAAAGAAAGAAAAAGAAAGTGTACCTCAGTGACCTTAAAATACTTAAAGACTATATAAGACTTCTCCTTTATCTGATGAGAGAGGAGAGCATATGTTACCCTGTGGATGAAGTTTTCCACTTTGGTCTGCAGACCCCACCATTTGAACTTGACAGTGACCAGTTTGTATGCACACATGTAAGGACAATCTGCCTTCAGCTCACTCTGCAAAGAGCACACAGGAAAAGCATAAATAAAGACAGGATTAGGATTAAGAAACAAAGGACAAAAATGAGCAAGATTCTGTGTCCATGTCTGGTACCTTCCATTCAGGGCCTAAAGGTCCTCTGTCTGTTTTGGCTGAGTGAAAAAGCGCAGGGTCTTCTTCTGGCTTATAGTCCTGCAGGAGAGTCAAAGGAAAAGAAATCTTTAAATGTAGCAGAACATCAACTTGTCTGCTGCAGGAGCACAGAGAAGGCACGATTCTTTGAAGACTACAGATACTACACAGACTAGAGCCCAACGATTTTTCGGACCAATGTGATATTTGGCGATTAAAAATCTGATATCCCTGAAATTACTTCTTTACCCTCTACCAAACGTTGCTAGCTGGTTGTTCTGTTTGTGGTGTCCCAAATGTGTTGTCAACAAAGAAGATGCAGAGTCCCATCTAGTGGATAAACTATGGAATATCAACACTGAGTATTAAAAGGGTGCTGTTCCTGTCTCTTTTTTACATTTTTAATTTTCATTTCTTGGTCATAAATCCAGACACAAATATATCAGTTAAACTGCCAATATAGGCCGCTATATCACCCTGCCAATATATCAACACTGACGAAGAGCAACAATCTCTCTCTCTCTGTTACATGCCCTAAATCTTGCTGTCTCAGTCACACTGAATCCAGCCTACCCTTTCAGCAGAGTTCAGGATGGCCTGTAACACTGAAGAAGAGCAAGAACGTATCTCTGTTACATGCCCTAAATCCTGAGCTCAAGGTTTGCTGTGCTGTTTTAATCCATTAGCTTTGTTGGGAAAGTGTGGCGAATAGCTGGAGCAGATGGACATTTAGATTAAGCCTTGACCTCCACACTGATCCACTTAAGTCATTACTTTACAGGAGTCAGTATAAGAAACACTGGGACAATCGAGACCCACCTCAATGACAATGCCTTAATACCACCTTTAAAATTTTCAACCAGAAGTACAATGATTTATGTTCTAACTTATGGCCCAATGGATTACTGAGCTGCTCCAAAAGACAGATTTATAGTTTATTTAATAACACAAACTATAAGGGCATTCCTTTCAAGTCAGACGGTGACAAAATGTTAAATTGACAGAAGCAAAAGACATAGATCATAGTCACACAAAAGACAAATGAATAGATTATGCAGGGAGAAAATAATAAAACCATCTGCTGGGATACTGTGATAGCAGAATTAGGAATTTTAACAGGAACATTTTAAGCTGGACATACACTGCGATTTTTTCAGTCGCGTTATTCAGCTTCTACTCAAACTGCACGATTGACTCGCAGGGGTTAGACAGACACTGTGCGTCCATAACATGGAGGTTATAACAGAAAATCTGTCGCTCGCTCTCCCTTTTTCTCCCTCTGTCTTTCACGCACACAGATATGCACACCGCCACCATCAACTTTGCTAAATTGCTAATGAAAAACATTGATCAGGCAGCTGTGATTGAGCAGCAATGTCCATCCACGGTCGTTGTGGTCATGATAATTTTGTGAGGCCACGTTGACAGTGTTAAAAGTAACCTAGTCAGTTTTGAAGATTAACAATGGCTAACACTGAGCAGTGCTGGTTTTCTAACACTGGAATATTTCTAACATTTTGAGTTATTTTCCAGTGTTAGAAAATCAGCACTGCTCAGTGTTAGCCATTGTTAATCTGCAAAACTGACTAGGTTACCGGTACTTTTAAACATATAACATTGTCAAAAGTGTTAATTTAACACTCAACAGTGTTGTATTTAACACTCAGAGGTGTGGACCCATATAGACACTCTCTAGTGTTAATTTAACACTGGAGATTTTGCTGTGTACAAAGCTCTGTGTAGCTTTGAACATAATTTGACTCTTCTCCTGCACAAAATGAATTAAGCGAGCACAATTTACTCCAAATCAGTTACTCCAAATGTTATCAGATAACAGATGACAGAGCAAAAACAAGATATTTTGGTACTTATTCTTTCAGTTGTTTTCAGTGCTAATGACAGAGGTTAGTATGTATGCAGGAATGAATATAAAACCATATGCTTGACTGTGTTTTTGCACTTTTGGACATATAAACTTGTCTTTAATGTGTGATTTTATTCAATAAAATTCAAGTTATTTATAAAGTGCCAATTCACAACAGTGGTTGCCTCCAGGTGTTCAAACTGTAAAGCACTTTCTCAAATGTTATTACTATTGTTATTATTCAAGTTTATGAAAATATAATGGCAAAATGCAACAATCCTGTAAGTAGGGCTGGGCCATATTATACTGTTCATGGTAATACCGGTATAATGTTAAGCAATGATAAGAAAATGAAATATCACGATAGAATATGGATAAAACACGTATGCACAGAGCCTTTGTTTTCATACACACATGGTGGAAAAAGCATGACGGCGACGGAGAATGAGAAGGGCAAAAGCAAATCGTTGAATGAAACAGATGAAACAGAATTGGTTTGTAAAAATGGTGCAACTTTGGTTTTTGTCCGGCGCTCAAAAATCTGTTTAAAAAATGTTTTAGTGCGACTTTGGTAAGCTGTGAAGCTGCACCGCTTGATGGATTGTCGGAGCATTACGGCTACCGTAGTGAGGAGCCTCGCGGAGTGATACGAACTGTACTTCAACATAATATTATCGTATTGTGTGTGTATAACTAAATTGTGTGAGTAAAGTTAGACTTATCTGACTGTTTTTTACTACAGTTTCATGTTCCAAACCACCTCTTTTTGTGGAGTTGTAAAGTATTTTGTCTTGCATCAATTATATCGTCAAGTTATATCGTTATCGCAAATTTTCAAATATATATCTCGTGATAAACTTTTTTGGTCATATTGCCTTGCCCTACCTGTAAGTAAGGAAATCCTGCACAAAGTCATTTATCTGGTGAGCTGATCATCACAACACAGAGCATGTGATAATCAAATTAATGTTATCATGGTGATCCAGCCAGGTAAAAAGAGAACCACCTTTGTGACACTAAAAAGTTTGGTACCTGGCAAACCAACTAATCTATCTTCATAGTACAGCCCTCAGGTAATATAGTCCTGTTTGTGCTCTTGGTGATCCTTACATTTGATTTTGTTGTAGACATAGACAGGCTAAAGAACTTATTTTTGTAGTGAAGTGAAACTGAGTATTGATGGACACCTAATGGACCTACTCTCCTGTGATGGGTCCCTTTCAGATATCCTTTGAAAGCAATCAGCATTCAAACTATGCAGAGTCTATCACTCTGTTGCCTTCTCTCGAAGGTCCATACACGAAAGCATCTCATAGCCCCTGTGTAGGTTAAATTCCCACAGTCTTAAAAACAGCCTTAAGGCTGAAAACAAATTAATTCAAAGCTTTGTAAATTAGATATGGACTGGTACTGCTTTTATACTCAAAGACTTGTAAGAACACTCAAAGAGCTTTTTACAAGTCTCATTCACCCAATCACACACACATCCATATAAGTGATTTTTATTCTTTAGTCAAGCACTCTTCTAACATGTAAAAACAGTCACACTAAAATGGATACATACAGGCAAACTCTGAATTCAGCATTTTGCCCAAAGATACTTTGACATGCAGACTAGAGTAGCCAGGGATCAAGCCCCTAACCTTCTGACCCACTCAAACTCCTGAGGCACAGCTGCTTTACCTGCATAAGCAACTGTAAATACATAATTTTCTAGTTAAAAAAACAAAACAAAACAAAAAAACCCCATAAAGCCCTCACTTTTTTTTTTTAAGAAATGTGTTCCAGCAAAAATATTGTCCCGTATTCAGGTCTATTAAACTTTTTTTTAACTTCTTAATGTGTGGCTTATAGGAGATCTTCATTAAACATCATCCATAATCAAGACTCACCCCTGGGGCCACTTCTTCTTTGTTTGCAATATCTATGGGTACGACTTCGACAGTCCTCCACGTCTGCTCATCCAGTTCATGGACCTGCATAAAGAAAACAAAGTGGAAACATTTCAGTGCAAAACAGGGAGAAAAAGAGGCATTTGTTTTTCATTCAAATTTGTTGAGTCTAAACCAAATCACATGCAAATTCAAAACTGCCGTGTAAACTCTAACTTGGACCCTTCTATCATGCAAGTGTATGACAGAAAGATTTATCAACATAAGGCTGGCCAGCCTGTGTTTTGTGGCTTTTAAATAGGAGCCTGTATCTCAACATAGGGACATAAAAATCATGGACATTTCTCAGGTGTCTAAACATTTACTTCAACCCGCACTATCCAGCATTTCTCAATATTATATAGATTTTCCTTCCCCCTCTCATTTGACAGAATTTCAATGCACTGCTGGGATACCCCCAGCATTCCTTTTCACTTACATTTTCTACTGTTCCCATGTCAGGTTTGTGCCAGGTCTCGATCTTAATCATGAAGTCATCCTTCATGTACTCATTCTGAAAAGTAGGAGACAAATAACATTCTTTATATGTTGAAGTGAAGCAATGACAAGCTGTCACTCAGAAGTCAGGCAGGTCCCCTACACTGACAGTTACAGCTGATCTTGGCTGGTACCAACAACACTATGAATGGAAGGTTGTGAGACGTAAAACCTGCAGCTAAATCCAATTAACCAATCAGACTAAAGCAACACTGGTGATGCTATACCACTCAGCTCTGGTCTATTTTTAATATCAGTAACGCTAGTTAACTTGCCAGTAATGTAAAGCAATAGTGGGCTCTGAACTTCAAACATCAAAAGGACAGAGAAGCAAATATCAAGGAACAGAGAGTGGATCAAATATTTGTGGCATACGCTGATGAGCATTTGTTGCATACATAAAGTAATATCTGTTTACTTTATGCAAATGCAAACTGGCCTTATAAAAATTAAACAAATATGTCAATGAAAATTGTAGATTAAGTTTTATGTTAAAGGATTTGAAGCAGGTAGTGGAAGATGTCACATCAAACTCAACTTTGTGGAAGTTTCCTGGCATAAAAATGGGCTGTGATCATCTAACTTGGTGTTAGACCCCTCCTGTCCTAGAGGACATGGAATGGCTAATGGGTGGATTTTCTGGTGGGACTAGGCCTTTAACAACAACAAAAAAAACCTCCAAAAAGAGGTAATGAGTAACTCACCGTCACAACTGCAGAGTAAAAAGGAAAAGAGAAAAAAAAAGAGCATCAGTATCAAATAATTAACAAAAAACTGTACATTTTTAGTATTATTTGAAATGCATTTATAAAATGCCTATTTCTGTAGTGGCTAAGTGCACTATCAAAACTATTAAATAATAACAAGTCTAAGTTTCTTCTGTGCAAACAATTTATTTGCCAAGTATTTTGTAGTAAATAATAGAGGAATACGAGGCTCTTGTTCTATGGATCTCTCAAATTTCCCTGTCTCGGACTGCAGCTGGTAGTCCTTCTTCCTCAGCCTTGATGAGTTGGTCATAGCAGCGGATGAATCAGCCTTCCACCTGCTGCAAGTTCTGGTTAGAGTGATTCTCCCACTTGCAGTGGATCTCTGAATCAAAAGGTCTACTGTTGTCAGCTGCAGTCCAGGATGGTGGAAATACTGGGGAAAACATCTGAATCATACAGAGGACTTCCACAATTGCAGCCTGGCTGGCAAGCCAGCTGGTAGGGAAACATGAGATAGGAAGGGCTGTGGGTAACTAGTCACTAGCATCTACTACTGAATCAATTGCATATTTCCTCACAGACAAATTACTCGCCATAATTTTATCATTAATGCAATTCAAATAACACAAGCACACTTCTGCGTGTACTTACTAGTGCGACAGTATGGGTAGGCATTCCAAGCCTTTTCGTGAAAAACTAATGCTCCTTCTGGTGCAATCATCTTCACGTAACCCGGGACTTTACTGTTATGAAAGAGAAAATTAGACAATCCTTATACTTTCCAACTTGTGTCTTTCAAAGGCCATAAAACATTGTAACAGGGAGCAGACTGCGCTCTTTAAAACCAATAATAACTCTGTTTGTAAATGGCTATCATCTGAAATATTTAATCAATTCTCATGCTGTACATGTCTAGAGCTCTTACCCAAACCCATTTCCCGTAATCACATAATCACAAAGACCATACAATATACAGACGGTGGACAAAATAAGTTTAAACACCTGACATAAAGCCTGAACCTTTATGCACATTTTATCTATTTTCAGTTGAGGGACTAGACTTTTCATTTAAACTAAGGGAAAAAAAAACAGTCCCCTAAATGCATCACTTGCAGCGCGAAAGTAATTAACACATATACATCTAGTCTTAGACTATTAAAGTGATAAAAAATTTTAACTTTTTGACCAGCTCTCACATTCCCTTTCAGTCGATTCACTTGGTACAACACATGGATATCACACCCTCGCGTGTCCTGGCTGAAGAAACTTTTATTCACACCTTTAAGGCAGATGACGTGTGATGACACACGCACGGCCCCGCCTGCACATATAGCCGCTTTCATCACAGTCATCCCTCAGTTCTTACGCTCTTCACCTCGCTGAGAACACCTCTGCTGAGTTGGTCTAGCTAGCTGCTGCTAGTTAGCGCCGTTGTCTGCCGACTTGAACTTAGCTTAACTGCCCCTGTTGGTGTTAGCCTCCAGTGCGCAGTTGGTGTGTAGGCTGCCCGCAGAGCGCTAATTTCGAGTTTTTCCTGTACAGCGTTTGGCTTTGCGGTTTGGAATAGACTCCTAACCAAAGCGAGCAAAGCAGAAATCTTCTGTTCGCCCCTGTCCTCAGGGGTGTGGTTTCTCTTTGCACAAAAGTGACCAGCACGATGCCTGCCCTGTCTGCCTGGCGATCATCAACGCTAGGAGACCGTTGATGGAGCCCGAAGCCTATGGGTTTTGTCGACGCTCGACCCCGGAAAGACAGGTGACGTTTGTGGAAAATGTGCTGGGAGGGACGGCTGTCGCACGGCATGACCTTTTCCTTTTCGAGTCTGGAGCTCTGGCTTCATCAGAGTCCGAAGACGAGGATTATCCGGTCGATGTCCCCGCAATTAGCTGGGCTGACCACATGGAATACGGTGATGGGTTAGCTGATGATGAGCTGGAACCATGCAGGAAGACGATGACGTGCTGGACATCGGCCTGGACATCGATGGTTTGTCAGAGGATAAGCAGGAGTGTTCACTGTCGTCCCAATATGCCGCCGCTGCTGCGCCGGTCGGGAATGATGACACTTCTCTTTTTTTCCCCTGTTTCGCCGCGCTTCTGAAAAGCTGCAATTGGACAGGCCCTCTCCTCCGACAGCTCAGAAGCCGTTCAATTGGCAGGCTTTTTCCTCCCTCCGGAGCCCGCAACGACCAAAACCCGCCTTCCCATGTTCCCATACTTTGTCTGCCAGCTAACGGCATCATGGGACAAACCTCTGTCTACCTGCGTGTGATGACAGGTAGACAGAGGTTTGTCCCACTGTGCCCGGCTATGGACAGTGCATGGAGGGCGACGGCACCAAGGAGACTGGCTTAGCTAACCCACCCCCTATGGAGCCATCACCATGCTCCAGACGTACCAGGTGATGTGCCTGGTTCCTGGTGACAGCACCGCTGGCACCTCTTCTTAACAAGGTCAGAGTTGCCATGGATTACACCCTCTGCACTGTGCAGTGCTTTCCCTGGGCAGACGGATGGCATCGACAGTAGTGGCGCAGAGGCACCTATGGCTGACCCTCTCTGACGTCCCGGATAGGGACAGAGCTGTATATCTGGACGTACCAGTGTCTGCGGCTAGGTTATTCTGACATTCACTTGAGGCCATTCAGGCTAGACTCGACTGAAGCAGACAGAAGCTCTGCGCAACATCATCATTAGGCGAAGTCCAAGCCCGCAGCTAGCTCTCACAGGCCCACCGCTCCTCTGCCGACTGGCAAGAGACCGGCGCCCACTGCTGTAGTGGGTGTGCCACCAGCGGGGGCACATCCTCCAGCCCGAGCTCCACGCCAGTTGGCCTAGAACAAAGGCCCACCCTCGGACCCCTGGCAGGACCTGACGCCCAGGAGGAAGAAGCCTCAGCCCTCCTAGTTGTGGTTTCGAGGGGTCTAGCGGCAGGAAGACGCTGTTCTTACCCCTCTGTTGCCGCCCAAGAGGTGCCACTTAAGTTCTGTTCAGGTTGTCAGCCCCAGAAGGCGCTGCACTTTCCTAACACTGTCTCCCAAGCACAACGCCCTGCACACAAAATGCCTCAAGTTGTAAATGTTCAGGTGACCACATCAAGTGTTCCACCTGTTTTTCATTGTTGTGCCCCAGGAAAGGTGCCTCCAACAAAATGTATGAATGTACATGTTCCCATATTACAATCAATAAAGAGTGTTGTTTATTCTCAAACAATCACAAATGCTCAGCCTGCAGGCAGAATGAGCCAGGTCAGGCAGCTGGCTGCTCACTTGCCTCAGTGGTGGGCTTGCGCCCCTCTCAGTGAGTGCTGCGAACCGTTGCCATGGGTTACCGGTTGTAGTTCAGGGTCAAGCCGCCTCTTTTCCGGAGAGTCGTAAACACGACTGTCGGCACCGAAGCGGCCATGATACTTAGAGAGGAAATAAAGTTGTATTGCAGAAAAGAGCAAGACGAGTGGTCCCTACTTTGGAGACAGACAAAGGTTGGTACAGCCGTTATTTTGTTGTTCCGAAAAAAGGGAGAGGGCTTTGGCCCATCCTCAACCTGCGAGTCTTGAACACGTATCTACGAACGTACAAGTTCAAGATGCTAACACTCAGACAGCTCTTGAGTGCAGTTGGCCCAGGAAATTGGTTTGCAAGAATCGATCTAACAGATGCTTATTTTCATGTAGCTATACACCCGAAACACAGGCAGTTTCTGGGGTTTGCATTCAAGGGCGTAGCCCTACAAATACCTGGTGCTGTCGTTCGGGCTGTCACTCGTTCCTCGCACCTTTGCGAAATGTGCCGAGGCAGCGCTAGTGCCCCTCAAAGAGACAGGCATCCGCATCTTAGCCTACCTAGACGACTGGGCTCTCGTAGCTTGCTCCAGAGAGCAGGCGGAGACACAGCTGTCGCTGGTTCTGTCACACATTCAGACACTGGGGTTCTCTGTGAACTTTCAAAAGAGCTCGCTTATCCCAAGTCAGCAGATTTCTTTCCTTGGTTTGGAAATATGTTTGCTTTCCAGCCACGCATATTTGTCGGAGCACAAACTGGCCGCGTTTCATCGCTGCCTCGCTCAGTTTCAGCTTGGACGCAGACTCCGTTTCCAGATATTACATTTGTTGGGCATGATGGCATCTATGATCGCCGTAGTGCCACTTGGACTGTTAAAGATGAGAGCGTTTCAACGCTGGACTCTCTCTCACCGCCTGTGTGCATCATGTCTCCTCCGGAGGAGGCCGACGGTAACTGCGTCTTGCATGCTAGCGCTCTGTCCTTGGAGGGAGCCCGGGCTGCTGCATCAGGGCTCTCGGATTGGGAGGGTGTTGTTTCGCAAGGTGGTGTCCACAGATGCTTCCCTAAGAGGGTGGGGAGCGCTGTACGAGGGTGCATCAGTGAGAGGGATCTGGTCGACAGCCCAGTGCGAGCTGCACATCAACCACTTAGAGCTGTTAGCAGTGTTCTTAGCTCTCAAACATTTTCGTCCAGTCCTGGAGGGCCAGCATGTCTTAGTCAGGATGGACAATTCAACAGTGGTATCCTACATAAACAGGCAGGGGGGTAAGGCTCAAGTAGATCTTTTTGCCTCCAGGGTAAATACTCCCTGGCCCCTGTTCTTCTCCATAATGGACCATGATGCACCCTTGGGCATGGACACACTAGCGCACCAATAGCCACACGTGCTCCTGTATGCATTTCCCCCAGTGGAAATGATATCTCCAGTTCTAGAGAGAGTGCATCAGCAGTCTCTCTCTCTGTTGTAGTGGCCCCTTGGTGGACCACAAGGTCGTGGTATGCAGAGATAATCAGCCTGCTAGCAGCGAGTCCTTGGCAGCTTCCTCTCTGCAGGGACCTCCTCTCTCAGGCGGGAGGAGAAGTGGTTCATCTGCGCCAGGATCTGTGGCGTCTTCGTGCTTACCTGCTGAGAGGTTAAACTTGATTGCCAAGGGTTTGCCGCCTAGTGTGATAGCGACAATTCAGAACACTAGTGCCTCATCTACTAGAGGCTTGTATGCTTACAAATGGCGAGCCTTCGAGCAATGGTGCCAGGTCCGCCATACTCTCCCATTTCAGTGCTCTATTGCGGATGTTTTGATATTTCTGCAGGAGCTGCTGGATAAGGGCCTTTCATTTTCAACAATTAAGGTTTATTTAGCAGCTATATTTACATGTCATATTGGCTTTGACGGGGTGACACCAGGTGTACATCCGCTTGCCATACATTTTCTGAAAGGAGTTCGCTGGCTGAGACCCGTGCTTAAGTCCAGTGTCCCTGCTTGGGACTTGTCTTTGGTGCTGGAGGCCCTTTGAAGCCCCACGTTTGAACCCACTGAGTCTGTGGATGTGAAATGTCTTTCATATAAGACTACTTCTCGCTTTGGATTCGGCAAAGCGAGTGGGTGACCTTCATGCACTGTCTGTGCATCCCTCCTGCACACAGTTCTCTCCTGATGGCCACAAGGTCGTATTGCGTCCAAATGCTGCCTATTTTCCCAAGATCATGCCTGCATCTTATAGCTCAATGGAGTTTGAGTTGCTGAACTCCCCTCCTTTGGCATCTGAGGGGCAGAGGAGGATGCATTCTATTTGTCCAGTGCATTGAGCGCACTCAGAATGTGCGTTTATGTGACCAGCTGTTTGTCTGCTTCGCTAATCCAACTTGAGGTAGAGCTCTGTCTAAACAGAGGCTGTCCCATTGGATGATAGAAGCTATCTTACTGGCTTACAGCACCAAAGGTCTTGCTTTGCCCCAGGGGTTGAGAACTCATTCCACCAGGGGGATAGCGACCTCATGGGCTCTTTTTAAAGGGGTGCCTGTAGCTGATATTTGTGCGGCAGCTAGTTTGGCATCACCGCACACTTTTGTGTGGTTTTATTGGTTGGACGTTACAGCCCCTTCGGTGGCTCGTCCTTTCTGCTGGGTCTACCACTCACTAAGGTGGTGGTGGTGGTCCGATTCTGGTTCGGTAGCTACTCTGCGGGGCGTGTATATATGTCCCATACTTATGTGTTGTACCGAGTGAATCAACTGAAAGGGAACGAATAGTTATGTCTATAACTTCTGTTCCCTGTAGGAGAGGAACACCTGTTTGAGGGTTAAGAGTAGGTTTTAGGTTTTAAAATTAGAATTAGGTCAGGGGTACTGATTTGGCACCTCTCTCTACACAGTGTAAAGCAGGCAGCAGTTACACTGGATGAAACCAGGAACAGACAAGAACTTTGCATATACAGAGCCTGTCAATCAAACAAATCATCCTTATTGAGTGTTTAAGTAATTAGGTCAGACTAATTGTCTCTTATAGAGGACCCTATGATTTCCCCTTCATTCCTCTACGAAAGAAAATTAATTTCAAAGCCTTGCCTTTTTAGATGATATATTTTATGTGTGTACTGTCCCTTCTCTCCATCCTTCTCATAGGGTTCATTCTTCAGCACTTCAATGCCTTCTCCTCCTCCTGTCTCATTTTTGCTGGCCTCAGCCACAGAGTACAGTTGCCCTACTTGATACTGCAAGAAATGGGAACACAAAGAAGACAGAGTGGAAATCAGCTTTGACTACAGTGAAAAATCCTTAGATTAACTGGAAGGATTGTGAAAGGCTTTGCGGGCCCTTGAAGCCTGTGAAGGCACATAAGTGCAAAGATGGAGTATCACTAACAGCAACTAGAACCAACATAGGAAGTAATTGTCGGTATTAATGTACATTAAAAAAGCAATGTTGGGCTGCACGTTCGTTTACAAGAGTCTAGCAACATTTTAAACAGCATTTCAGTCACTGAGTTGTACACTTAAAGGTTTTAAACACATTTTTACAAGCCCATCAATAACATCTTTATATTTGTACATTTTATCTTTAAAAAACAAAAACAAAAAAACTTTGTCCCTTTATTTGGACTTGTATGCCTAATGTATGTCCACCATCGTGATATTAATGGTTATTTGACAAAATGTGCTTCACAATACGAGCAGTAACAAACTAATAAAAAAGACCCAAACAGACTCATATAGAAAATCCTTCACTGTGTTGAGAAAAAAACAACACAGCAAAACAATTATTTCTTGTAGAATCCCAATAATAACCTCCATTAGAAGTGAAAGTTATTAAAGACTAAACAGAAGTCTAGTTTTGAGATTACACACACACACACACAAAAAAAGAGCATAAAAGCATCATTGCTGTTAAGTCAACAGCCAGAATGCAGTTCAAAAGGTTGAGTCTACACCCCCAGTGTAACTCTGATCTCTGCAACACACAGCCTGTCCCAATAACATCAGTAGTCTCTAACAAAGGCTTTTTGTCTTAATATGAGGTTCAGACTAAAGCCAGCGTGGATGAACATTTTCTGTGTAAGACAAACACAATACTCCCTCTATTTTATCAAAATATTACAATAACACAGTGAATTTAAATAATATGCCCATATATATTTTAAGAGAACATGTAGGCAATAATACTCACCTCTTCTACAGAGACTGGCAACACTACACGGCTGCAAGGAGGATATGACAGGAAAAGAAGAGAGAAACAAATAGGTTAAAGACTTAAAAGATATGAATAAAATATGAATAAAATTCCATTTTTAAAATAGAACCAAGCTGATCAAATGTTAAGGATTAAACACTCTTTTGGATGGCTGTAAGGAGACAGATGCCACTGCCTAAAAACTTTTATGAAATGGTTCAACATTCCTAAAATTTTGCTTCTTTAAAAACATTTTTTTGCTATAAATGTTTACCAGTCTGAATGTTAACACGTCAGTGAGTAACTGAGTATAGTATATGGCTGTAGCTGAACTCCAATTACTAAGTAGCAATAGTTTTCTGATAAAATTATGAGCAAGCACTTGATAACAGTGTGAAGGAGGAACGTTGTTTCGAAGAAACAGGTCATCTGCTGCCAGAACCTCCGAGGTGAGGGGAAACAGATGCACCTAGCAGATGCAGCTATGGTCCGAATTTCAAAATCCTACGTTCGCATATACAAGATTTTCAGAAAACGTGACAGAGAACTCTCAGTGACCTTAAGGTCGAGGTCACTGAGATTTTAACTTGTACAATATTTTTAGTAGATACACCTAGGGCTGTGCTATATGACCAAAATCTCATATCTCGATATAAGAATTCTATCATCGATAACGATATAAATCACAAAAATGTAACATTTTCTGTAAATTCTGTGACTCTCGGGCAGCTCGACTTGCGGGAAGTGTTTCCAGCTGCATCAAAGAATACATACAGGCTCAAGTGCATACATACACCCACACCAATACTCGGTTAAATGTCCCTTAGCAAATTGGACCTTGGCCAAATGCTTTTGGTAGCCATCAACAAGTTTCTGGCTGGATATCTGGCCACTCTCAGAAATGGTTTCATTTAAATTAGTTTGTTTCATCCAGCTTTTAGGCATAGTTCACAAGTTAGGCATGAGGTTGGAGCTTGGACAGTCCATTCCAGAATCTTAATGAGCCATTTCTAAACAACTGCACATCAGTTTAACCTTCCTGTCATGTTTGGGTCAACTGTACATGAGTATAAATTATTCAGATGTGTAACCACTTTCCCAAGTGGTTCAATAAATCAAAACTTGTGATCAAATATTCAGCCAATTTCATGCTAGATGCTTGTTAACGCCTACCAAAAACATCTTTCAAGGTGCAGTTGGCTAAGGGACATTTAATAAAATATTGAATGCATTAGTAAAAATCCAAAATAATTTCAAACTTCTGCAACCAGTTCCTGTTTTTTAAAGCCAATAAAAGATACATTCTGTACAATCATTTCATCTTAGCTAAAGAAGAGTTGTAAGAAATCATTAAACCCCCCAAATTACCATCAGATATTGTGTATCTATTAAGCTGTAATCCCCACTAAAATTGAAACTTAAATAGTTACCTTTTAAAAACTAGATTTGACAAACCTACTGTTTCAAGACAATTTAGTAGTAGTAGTTCTAGTTAACCTTAAACGTATTAAAATAAGAGCTACTAGACCTGAACTATTATATGCATATTGCAGCTTAATTACAAAATGAAGAAAACCACCAAACAGACAGTAACGAATTCTTTTTTGCTTAGATCTTCATGTCCTCATTAATAAAAAATACTCCTAGACTGGCAGATTTGGCACCCCACCATTTATAATAATAATAATAATGGATTGGATTTATATAGCGCTTTTCAAGGCACTCAAAGCGCTTTACAATGCCACTATTCATTCACTCTCACATTCACACACTGGTGGAGGCAAGCTTTACCTAAACACCTACTGATTAATCAAGTGTGTGTTCTGTTGTGTACTCAATGTCTACTGTATATAAACACTACTGTGTGCTACACAATATTATACTTCAGAATATCTACATAATTTGCATAATGCATGCAATTTTCAAAGGTACAAAAAGTTGTGTCACTGGCAATCATTAAAGGTGACTTATTTGCTCATTTTCACCTAGTTTTTGTCAGTACATCAATAATCAATACATTACAACATATATTTAAATCTTCAGCATTTAGTGTCAAAGAACAATCATAACCCCAAACTGTATTTACATTGACTAATACTCACTATGTGTAAATGGTAAATGGCCTGTATTTATATAGCGCTTTACTAGTCCCTAAGGACCCCAAAGCGCTTTACATATCCAGTCATCCACCCATTCACACACACATTCACACACTGGTAATGGCAAGCTACATTGTAGCCACAGCCACCCTGGGGCGCACTGACAGAGGCGAGGCTGCCGGACACTGGCGCCACCGGGCCCTCTGACCACCACCAGTAGGCAACGGGTGAAGTGTCTTGCCCAAGGACACAACGACCGAGACTGTCCAAGCTGGGGCTCGAACCGGCAACCTTCCGATTACAAGGCGAACTCCCAACTCTTGAGCCACGATCGTTAAAAATAATGGCAGCGAAAAGGTCTACACCAGCGGTGTCGAACTCCAGGCCTCGAGGTCCTACAGGTTTTAGATATCACCCTGGGTCAACACACCTGAATCAAATGATTAGTTCGTTACCAGGCCTCAGGAGAACTTCAAAACATGTTGAGGAGGTAATTTAGCGATTTAAATCAGCTGTGTTGGATCAAGGACACATCTAAAACGTGCAGGACACCGGCCCTCGAGGTCTGGAGTTCAACACCTGTGGTCTACACTGAAAATGACCTTCTTGGGTTAAAAAGGCCAAAGGCCAAACTGGCTTGTGAAGACATACCAGTACTTGAATTTCAGACATCACAGACAAATGCAGTACAAGTACTCTGGTGCTCAGACACAACCTTTATTAAAGTTTGAATTATAAGCAGCTTTATTTGTTTCTCTTGCTACAACAAATAACAGTGTAAATTTATAGCTAAAATAATGAGTAAATGAATTGATTAGTTATAGAATGAATTAGTAATAGTCAGTTAAATATTCATGTAGAATCCCTTAAAATGTCAGGATTCTTAAATGTAATAATATGACTAAAAAAAATCTATTTCTACAGTGGTCCTACAGTGATACAACAGGCATCTTTTCATCCTAAGTGGAAATTCATTCTACCATTATTTCCCACAGTCTGAAAGCTCTGTATTCATATGCACATGCACATCCCTTAACTATCGCTTTGAAATTTCAGCAAATTGTATTTGCTGATCATCTATATATTTCAGCTGCCTTTCCAGTGCAACTGTCTGGGAATGTAGCTGCAGAAGGTAGTCCTTGCTCTGCTAACGAATAGAGGGCCTAACCAGATTCTTGAGCAAAGGAAGAACTACTACATGTGCCGTTAAATGTAACATTGCACATTTTTCACAAAGTCAATTGAAATAGCTGCACCAAAGCTGCTTTATAAATAGTATTATTTAGTACCGAAAATCGGTTGTACTAAGAAAGTAATTATGCCTGACATAAAAACATCATAATTAATGCTCATGTTCAACGTATACAATCACACACGTGGCAGTGGGCTAAACCAGCCCAGTGTAACATATCAAAATGTAAGGTCAGCCTTACAGCATTAATATTAGTCATCTGTGACTCAATTCTATCAAGTCTAACATCAAAAGTACCACACATTTACCAGTGGCAGTGGCTTACAGTTATTTTTTGCATCAAACCAATTTTGCATGGGCTAAATGTTCAGTGTCATGAAAGGCTGAAAGACATTAAAGCTGTAAGGTTGTTTTGTTTTGTTTTAAACTAAAAATCTTAAATTATTTAAAATTGCATTATCCAGCAACAAAAAGAAAAGAAGATACATACTACAATCAGTTCAGAATTTTATAATACGTGATTAACCAGTAACAACACAAGCTTATGTTTAGGAATTTTTTTTAATATATTGAGATATAAGCCATTAATGAAAGATTAATTTCATTAACCAGTATATTTGTTTCTCCCTCCGTGAGACTACGTTAGTTGCTTTTAACCAACAATTTTTATAGATATTAATAGTCCTGGCTCTGATACTGAAGTACTGTATGGAATCGAACCCATTCTGTGCTATCCCCTAACAACAGGTAGCCTCCCGTTATATGTAGGCTACACAGGTTAGCCACGCAGTGAATGCTAGATTTAATAAGAAAGAATGAAAACGTCCACTGCATAGTTTCAATCCACCCGATTGATGGGCAGAAATATTAAGAGTAATTGTTTTAACAATTACGCATCATTAATATAGTGTTCGTGTTAGCTGCCCAGTTTTAGAGGGTTAACTTTATACCACTAGCGCAACAAACTAACAGCAAAGTAGTTAGTCCTTCCATAACCCCATGCTAGCTTGTAGGCTATAGCTGACGTATGGTACGGGGGAGTACAGACAATAAACCCTGCATAACTATTTCCTAACAATAAGCTCTCTTCTGCTTTAACAATGAGTTGTACTAGCAGCTGATTGTGGACTTTTAAATAAACTCGGTTGTCAGAGAATTGTCATGCTAGCCGCTACAGCTAACTTAGCCAGCTAGCATAAATGGTAAATCCGACAGAAGGACCCTTAATCTCTCACTCACGGGACCAAAGCTTAACGTAACGGCATTTCAGAGATATAACACGCTGCTACATGGCTAGCTGCAGTCACGTTGGCAATACAGCAAACCGTCAAAGTAGTACTAACTCGCTGAATGTGCAAAAGGCTTATGTGTGAGCGGTGCAGCCTTTTTATGTAACTCGTTTTCATTAAGAAGCTAATTATCCCCTCTGCATCTACAACTCAGAAGCTAACTGTAGCTTGTACTAGCAACGCCTTAAAAAGACCGGTGGGTCCCGTTATCCACGTCCTGATCCAACCTGCTCACAAGCTGGCTTTTTACAGACTACAGGAGCGTAAAATACAGCGAACGACAACGCTAAATGAAACACACATGCGTACTTCTCAATAATCAAATGTGGGACCGATCTGAATACCCTACTAAACGCACTAAAAAAACATTTTTTAAAAACATTTTCACACTCACTATTCCTTGATGAGCACCATCTTCGTCACACGGGCTGCGGCTGCGCAGTGGTAATCGACACCCGATCAACAAGTCAGTTCCGCCCTCCGGGAAAAATCTGATTGGCTGAAACATCCACACCATTGTTCATGTAATACTGTACCTCTGTATTCCATTGAACACTATGTTAATGTATTTGTCACTACTATGATATGTTCAGTGATATTTATTATGGCGAAATATACATAAATACAACTCACTATTTGCCATGTTTTTGGAATAAAAAACTAACAGCAGAAACAAGTATAGTAATTAACAAACCACTGTTTGCTCTCAGGGTACTTAGTGGACAATTTGTTTTCCGTGATCTAAACTTTAAAACTTAATTTTGGTAGGTTTATATCACAATTAGGTTTGGTAGCTTTTGGTCCAGATCTAGAAAAATACTAACTGGCTTGGCTTGCACAGCACTTGGACCGATTTCACTTGGAATTTCCATAATATATTTTAATATGTACCTATATTTTAATACTCATACTTTTCTATAAATTCAAGACTTTTACTTCTAACAGTGTGATATAGCTAGTTTTTAAAAATAAGTAATTGATTGGGTGAACATCGATGCAAGAATATACATGCTGCCTGCTCTATGGCTTATCGTCAGACTAGAGGAACAGGGCGTTGTTTGAAACAGGGCGGATCGCTTGGAACGCCAGGCTAGCAGGTACTAAAAAAGTACCTGGTACCTATGAACTAATGGAAAACCCTGAAAACCATAGCGAACCATGCCGATTGGATCCCAGTAGGTACTAATCGAAAAGGGGATCAAGGAAAAGGTGTAAGTTTGCCTACCAGCCTGGCATTGGAGCGGATGATGCCGTCATTCACCTCCTACATCGTTCCCTCGCTCCCCTGGAGACCGCTGGAAGCACTGTGAGAATCATGTTCTTTGATTTCTCCAGTGCCTTCAACACCATTCTTCCCTCGGTTCTAAAGGACAAGCTGGTGAACTCTGGAGTGGACCATCACCTCACTGCCTGGATTTTGGACTACCTCACCGACCGACCACAGTATGTGAGG